AGCCCAGATAGCCGGCATTTTAAAACAGCACAGCTTTTCTCCTGCTACAGCTGAAAACTGAAAAGAATGCGTTCAGCTTGTCATCAACAACATTTAAGTGTTTTGTGGCAGGACCTCTTTAAAGAGCTGCAAGGTTTTGCAGCTAAAGCTGAGTCAGGAAGCCTCTCTCAGATGAGAGCGCTTGCTTGCCTCTAGCAAGGAAAGTAGACCTGAGAAATTGCTGCCACCAAGAAGCCATGCTTTACTCTATTCTTTTCCAAGCTTTCTCAGGCTTTCTGTGGATTCAGTTATCCACGTCTGGGCGCCATATGTAGCATGAGGGCCGGCTTGTTGGGGTTTCTGTCCCGTCCAGTACCCCAACAAGCCAGCAAGTCCCAAGGAAAATCACACGGAGTCTACATCAGGTTATAAACTGATTGGCTCATTAGGTCAGGCTTCTTGTTAACTCTTATAACTTATATTAACCCATTAAAGACTCCTTCATTGCTGGTAGGAGTGCAAACTGGTACAGTCCCTTTAGATATCAGTATCATGACTTCTCAGAAAATTTGGAAACAATCTTTCTCCAGACCCAGCAATACCACTTTTGGGTATATGCCCAAAGGATTCTCGATTGTACTACAATAACATGTGCTCAACTATGTTCATAGCAGCATTGCTTGTCACAGCTAAACCTGGAAACAGCCCAAATGCCCCTAAACTGGAGAATGGATAAGGAAAATATGGTTCATTTACACAATGGTGTACTACACAACAAAAAAGAATCATGGCATATTGAAATTTTAGGGCAAATGAATGGATCTCGAAAACATAATATTGACTGAATAAACTATACCCAGAAAGAAAAATATCATGAGTACTCACTCATAAATGGCTTTTAGACACAAAGCAAAGAAAATCAGTCCCAGCTCACAATTTACAATCCCAATTGTAATGACAACAATAAGGATCCTAAGAGAGACATACATGGATCTATTCTACATGTAAGTAAAAAAAAGATAAGATCTCCTGATTCAAATTAAAAGCACGGGGACCATGGAAAAGGGTACAAGAGGAGGAGAAAAAAGGAAGGGAAGGGAGTAGAGAAAAATATAAAACTCAATAAATTCACAAATATTAAATTTTAGAACTCATAAAAAAACATATCAAACAACAATTGGGTCATGAAAAAAATTTTATTTCTAAAACTGAATGAAAATGAGAACACAACATTTCAAAACTTTTGGAACACAGTGAAGGAAAGCCAACAAGGACACCTCACAGTAGTAAATGCCTAAATAAAACACTTTGAGATATGTCACCTTGATAACTCAATTATCCACTTGTAGATCTTGAAAAAGCAAATTTAAAACATACCCCAAACAGCAGATAGAAAGAGATTAAGTTCTTAAGTAGATAAAATAGAAATAAGAACATTACAGATTATAAAGTAATGTTTTAATTAAAAATTTTAAAATATAGAAGACAAAACAAAAATCAAAAAAAGAGTTCTATTTTTAAAGATAATATTAACAAGATTGACTTACCTTAGTCAAATTCCACAGAGAGAGAGAGAGAGAGAGAGAAGAGAGAGAGAGAGAGAGAGAGAGAGAGAGAGAGAGAGAGAGAGAGATTCAGAGGAACAAAAGGACACACTCTAAAAATTTTTACATTCCAATAAACTGGCAAATCTAAAAATAAAGATGAACTTCTCAATGCATACAGTCTATGAAAATTAAATCAACAGTAAGTAAATTAAATAAACTCATGATGGTCTATGAGATAGAAGCAAGTGCATAAAAAATCACAACTGAAAGGAATCTGTAATAAGATGGAATTAGGACACAATTCTATCAGTATCTTTAAGAACTACCATGTTCCTAGTTATTGCATACAACAAGGAAGGAAGGAAGAGTTCCAAGTTCCTTTCTTAAAGCCAGGATTTTCCTGTACCAAACGAAACAAAAATTCACCCTCACAAAATAAGATATGTAGGCTGGTCTTTCAGATGAACGTTGTAAGGGTCATAAGAATCAATATCTGTGGCAAAAAAACTTTTTGTAAGACATGACAGAGATGTTGTACAAATGCATTTACAAAAAGATGGGTACTATGTACATAAGACCTTCACAAGATTAGGTCCAAATGAGGAGAAGAAGGAGGGAGAACATGAACAAGAAAGGCAGGACCGTGAGGAGTCCGTTCACCCACTGATACAAGCGGACTGATCTAATGAGAGTTCACCAAGGCCTGCTGGACTGGGACTGAACGAGCACGTGATCAAACCGGATTCTCTGAATGTGGCTGGCACAGGGACTATCTGAGAAGCCATTGATAATAGCACTGGTACTTGTTTCCTCTGCATGTACTGGATTTTTGGGATCCTAGTCTGTTTGGATGCTCACCTTCCTAGACCTGGAGGGAGGGGGGAGGAACTTAATCTTCCCACAGGGCAGGAAACCCTGACTGCTCTTAGGGCTGGATAGGGAGGAGGAGAGGAAGTGAGGGGAGTAGGAGGGTTTTGGGAGGAGGGGCAGAAATGGAAACTTTTATAAATTAATAAAAAAAATTATAAAAAAATAAAAGGGTCTAAACAATTTTTTTTAAAAAAAGATTAAACCCATCAGTCTTAGTAGGAATGCAGGAGGACTCATTAAATTCCCCTCCATCTATGGAGCTATTGGCAACTGACAGCTGCAGAGGAAGGGGGAGTCAATTCCTTCATAGGGGCAGCCTCTGAGAGGCTACTCACGCTCCAGTATATAGTCCTGCATCAATGCTTTCAGAAAATACTAAGTAGATTTCATGTTATTTTAGTTTATTTTATTGAGAGCACATAGCATTGAGAAGAAAAGGCAGGGTATTGGAATAAATTGGAGGGGAGGGGAGGGTTAGTAGATATAATCAAAACAAAGTAGATGTGTGTATGATATTTTCAAACTATTTTAAAAGGGTCTGATGTACTTAATAGATATAGATAAATTAATCCAAGAATTCACAATGAAACCACAAAGGACTACAAATCACCAAAACCATCCTAAAGAGAAAGAATAAAGATACAAGTATCAAAATATCTGACTTTAAAATATGCTAAAAAATTATAGTGACAATGACAGTCCATTACTAGACTAAAAACAGACAATTAGACCAATGGGATAGTTGAAAGCACCCAAAAATAAACTGAAAAAAAAAACTGTAGGTATCTAGTTTTTACAAAGGTGATAAAAATGCAGTGGAAGAAAAGCCTATTTAGCAAATGTCCCTGGTAAACCTGGATTTTTACCTGCAGATTAGAAGTTAAATTTACATCTCTCACTCTAAACAAGAGTCAGTTCAAAGTGTTTTAAAAACATAGTTAAAACATGAAACGGCAAAGGAGGAAAACATGTATGAGAGTCTTTAAGACTCTGGATGCTTAAGAACTTTCTGAATAGAACTTTAGCAGCACATAATCTAGCATCCAAGATTTCAGTAGATGGAACTACATTAAATTAACATGTGTCTGCCCAGAAAGTAGAATTATCAAGAGAACAAATATCCCATAGAATGGGAGTAGACATTTACTTGCTTTCATTCAGACTTGAGGCTACCATCCAAAATATACAAAGGACTGCAAAAAAAATTAAAACTATGTAGAGATAACCATTTCACATCAGTCAGAAAATTAGGGCTGGAGATATGTCCCAGCAACTAAGAGAAGTTTGTGTTCTTTAAGAAAATCTAAATTTACTACCGGAAACCTAGGTTGAAAGGCTAATAAATGTCTGTAACTCTTGCTCCTGGGGGTTCAATGTCCTGTGCTGAGGAGGTTAATATGGGAAAATATGTAGGTTTATTTATTGTCGGTAGGAGTCTGAAGTAGCATAGCTACTATGGAACTCAGTGAAGATTCCTCGGAATTAAAAACAAAACTACCATATGTCCTACACATCCCCCTCCTGGATATAAGAGCCCCACATCTACCACAGAGAGATTTTTTTTTAAAAAAAATCCATGGTTATTTCTCTTCAATCATGATAACTATCAAAAAATCAGTACCAGCATTTATGTTTATCAACAGAGGAATTGGGAAGGAAGTTGTGGAACATATACCTAAAGGAATATTACACAGTTGTAATGAAAAATGAAAATTTCAGGAAACTGAATGGCTAGGGAAAATATAAGTGGAGTAACCCAAACACAGAAATCAAAATTTCTCCCAATATGTTGAATATTTACCATACTATAATTTAATATTATATTATTATGTAGTATTACATAATATATTATTCATATATATATATATATATAAAGTAGGAGTAATGTCTAAAAGTCTAGCAGGTTCTGACACCAAGTTGTATGTGTTCATATATTTATGTGTGTGTCTGTGTGTGGTTGTGACTTTAAAGAAAGATGCATAGCAGGTGCCGAGATTTTACTTTTGTCTTTTAGAAAAAGATATTTATTAATATAACATAGTTAAAATACAATGGAAGGGAACAACTTGGTGTCCAAAGAAATTGTGTCCCTTACCGCTTACACTATCATCTCTTTTCTTTCTAGCTTACACAAGGATTCAGAGTACACTCTGGAACGGGCGTGACACAGATCAACAGTGCACTGAGTACATGGGAAATTCGCTTCCTCATCGGTTTCCAGTCCTTGAATGCCCTGGATGCAGAGGTTGTGATTCCAATCTGAGGCTGGTAGTGGCACATATTGGGTTGCATGGATGGTTCCTCTGTCGAGAAGTCCATGTTCAGAAACAATGTGGGTCTTCCATCCAATGTTGATTCACATAAGGAGAGATCACCAGGCGAGTTGTCCAGAGAATTCATGTTGTCTTCAATGTCCCCACTAGCACACTTGACAACATTAGCCATCAGGACACCTCCTTCTGGTACTGTGTCTTCTGAACTGGGCTTCAGCTCCAGGTGGGAGTATTTGATGAGCTTCAAAAGACTTTGTCATCTCTTGCTTCTTTCTTCTACACCCCCCTCTTTAGTTTCACTCTTCCCACTTTTTCTAATCATTGAAAGGAATGGATCACTGGTTCTCCTTTACAAATGGAAGAAAGGGTGATGTGCACCTACATGGCTGCTTTTAAACAGGGATGCCCAGTTTGCTGATAACTGTCCTCACAGCTCAATTTGTGTTTTAGAATATTAAAAGTTGCTGTTACTTTATTTGGTTGCCTGTATTTTATGGATGACAAAATCTCTTCCAAGTTATAACCCATGGTGTACATAGTCTCTACAAGCCTTGGAAGGATTTCTTTAGTTGTAGGTGCTGTATGTTTTTTAATGTGGCCCAGCCACGGTCTTTGCAGAAGTTGACATATTGTTATCCTCTCTTGGGTGGGGACCTTGAGTAATTGTGCAATGATGATGTAACAGGGTTTTGACAAGTGGTAGGGGATGGGACACTTTGTGTTGGTAATGAGCCTATGCATACCATGTATTGTGTCTTCTGTGTATGGAAATTGCCCTGTGACCAGTACATATAGGAGGACTCCCAAGCTCCACATGTCAACAGCCAGCCCATCATAAGGTTCCATTGCCAAGATCTCTGGAGCCATATAGAGCAACGAACCACAGACTTGCATCAACATCTGCCCCTCTGCGAGCTCAATTGCCATACCAAAATCACAAAGCTTGACGTTGCCATTTCTGTCAATAAGGACATTCTCCAATTTAATATCACGATGCGCAATGCGTCTTTGGTGGAGAAAGTGCACCGCTGATACAACCTGTTGGAAGATGGGTTTAGCATCCTGTTCCTTTAGATATCCAACCTCACAGAGGAACATCTGCAGATCTTTTCCTGCTACATACTCCATGACTATATAAGTCTTTGACCACATGTCAATAACATGAAAAAAATGAATGATATTACTGTGTTCCAAAGACTGAAGGATCTTTACTTCAGAGTTGGTCCCATCCAGATCATTGCTTTTTTTCCTAAGGATCTTGACAGCAACCTGTGTTTTTGTGGGAATGTGGCAGGCAAGCTTCACCTCCCCGAAAGAACCTACAGCTAGAGGTGTTAAGATCCTGAAATCTTTGTCAAGCATGTCCTCGTCCCAGGGGCTGGCCATGATGTGTTGTCTCAATCCACCTACTTTTCTTGTTGGCAGGCAATGCTAGAAACAAAAATTTAAGCAACGTTAGGATACAGGTCTACCACTATGAATTCATGGTCATCAAATCATAGATATTCCCAAGAATCCTAATGATACACTTCAAGGACATAGAAATACTAGAAGAACCCAATCTCAAAGAAGTACAAAAGAAATCACAGTAAGATCAAAGAGGGAATCACTGATGTGTCCATGCAAATACAAATACTTACATCAGAGAAATAATGATTTGGTTATTTTCAACAATGAACCAAAATGAAAATCTTTGGCCATTGTTATCATGTGATAAGAGATACAAATTAAATTGTAGGTAAAAAAAGATAATGTTCTAGCAAAATTACAATCCAGAGAATCTCTTCGGGATACTTCAAATATTAAAACCTAGGATATTTGAAGTGAAAGGAATTCCTAGACTTGTGTGAACATTGAAATAGGATAAAAGAAAAACACTTAAACACATGAGACATACGTAGCAAATATGGGTATTGAAAAAAAATAACTCCAGGACAGACATATTCCAGGCATCTGGAATTCCCCAAAGCTCTCAAAACATAAGAATAAACAATCTACATAAGCTAGAGTCATCAGAGAGGAAGGGAACACAGGTGAGGAAATCCCTCTATGAGGTACAGCTGTTAGGCATTTTCTCAATTAGCGATTAATGTGGAAGGGTCCAGTACATTTAAATGGTACTTTTCTTGGACTGGTTTTCCTGGGTTCTATACTAAAGCAGACTGAACAAGTTAGCAAGAGCACCCTTCTATGGCTTCCTCATAATCTCCTGCCTCAAAGATCCTGTTCTGTTGAGTTCTTGTCCTACGGTTCGTCAGAGATGAACAGCAGTCTTAGAAGTGTAATATGAATAAACTCTTTCTTCCCCATCATTCATGTTGGTCATGGTGTTGTGCTAAAGCAATAGAAACCCTAACTATGACAAACACCTTAGTGAGAGAAAATACTTTAAGAAAGAGGATGCAAAGGAATGTGTCTACACTGATGCATATGGCAGGATTACCCTGAGCCCACAATTAAATGAGCACAGTAAGTAAAGCATAAACTCCTTTACCTCATTGACTTCTTGAGAAAATTAATAATGAGAGTCCCTGGTACATCATATCCATCTCAGCATCCCACTAAAGACCTATTCATTCACAATCAAAATGGCCTCACTGTGGACCCAGGGGAGAATTCAAATTAAACATATCAAACATTAGCATAGTATGTAAGGAGACTGTGGGGATGGTACCACACTATGCACAGTGACTAGTGAACCATTGTTTTATAAGGAATGGAGGTAAACTAGATATAATTTTGCATGAAAAAGAGCAGGTCCACATACAGAAATTAGACATATTTTGTGTTGTTTGGATCATGATGAAGGAGGGGGTCTGAGCTTTTATAAAAGTCATAGGATCCGTCACAAAGATAAATGGGAAGGAGTTAATTCAGGAAAAATGGTCAAAGCACAGTACAGTAATGCATGGAAAGTTATAATTAAATTGTTTATGTGTGGTTTATACTTTAATATTTTTTAAGTATTGGACAAAATAAAAGATAAAGACAGGATTTAATTTTCAAAATAGAGAATTAGATAATAATTAGTTAAGAAAGGGACAATAGATTGACAAATGAACCCTAGAAACAAACCCAAAATTATAAATATAAATATGAAACACCAAACAAAAATCCCAGAAAGCTAAACCAACCATCTGGGAATGAACATCTATATGTTGAGGTCCCATAGATTAGAGACCTCCAAATTCATCAGGAACACTGTTACATTCCAATTCCTATGTAAGCATTTAACGGTGACTCCAATGTACAAAGAAAAGGCGCAGCTTCAGGATGTGACCTTTATGGACTAGTATCTGACATTATTTAGAATGCCTCTTTATAATTTTACCACAAGCAATCATTCAATCATTTTTTGTCAAAACCAGCAGTTGTTTTTTTTTTTCTCTGCTTCTACACAATAACAGAGCACTGGTTATTTTTATCATGACTGTGATCAAGTCTCAGTTAAGAATAAAATCTAATCAGGTGGTGGCACACACCTTAATCCCAACCCTCAGGAGGCAGAGGCAGGAGGAACTTTGTGAGTCCAGACAACTCTAGTCTACATTAACTAATTCCTAGAGAGGAACCCAAGCTACGGAGAACTCCTGTCTCAAAACACAAACAAGCAAGCAAAGAAACAATCAAAAGAATCAGTTCTAGGAAGGAAGGGTTTTTCAGTCCTCAGATTTTCAACAGACATAGAAAACCATGGGACTGAAAATATCTTGTTATTATAGAACTGGGTTGTTATGTGGCTGGTGACATTGCATTAAAAATCTCTATCCACTAGTGACTTACTTCCTGTAAATCTCACCCCTATGACTTCCAAAGCTTTCCAAGAGACACTAGCTCATTTTCACTAAGTTCTCAAAATCCTGAGATCATGCTAAGAAAACCACTGGGGTAGTTTTATTGATACAGGTCTCTACAGTTTAGGGCATTTGAGGGTCAGTTTTGGACCCATTTGTTTAATTTCATGTGGTAGAGTCTTGGTGCCTTATTAGTCAGAGTTCTCTGAACAATAGAGCACCTGAAGCAATGGTACAATCAATCTCTCTCCCCGTTGGAATTTATTGGAATGACTTACAGGCTGCTGTTCAGCTAATTCAGCAATAGCCGGCTAAGAATGGAAACTTCAAAATTCCAGGAGTTTCTCAGTTCACAATGCTGTTTCTCTTGTCTGGTCTTCAGTATCTGCTGGAATCCCAAAGAAATTGGCTCTTATTCCCATGAAGGAATGGACTCACTAACAAGGCGAGGGCAACAGAGAAATGAACAAAAGCCTCCTCTTGTGTCCTTATATACTCTTCCAGCAAAAGGCGTGGTCAAAATTAAAGGTGTGTCTTCTGGCGTCATGAACCAGATTAAAGGTGTGTGTCTTCCCACCAAATCCACTCATCAAAGAAGTGTCTTTCCCTCGTTGAGATTCAAAATAAACCAATCAAAAATGATCTCTTACAGGTGAGCCCTCCATTTTTGGATTCCAGATGTAGTTGATTCCAGATGTAGTCATGTTGGCAACCAAAAATATCTCTCACAATGACAGAATTTCCTCCATTTAATTGAACTTGAGATTAAGGAGCCTAGCTTTCATCATTTGCTGTCTGTGCTTTCTGATTCAATTTGAAAGTGTTAGTAGTTCATCTGACCACTCAACCCTTTAGAAAACTGCAGTGTGTCACATAGCATATTCTTCTGCCCAGTCAGGTTTACAGTACAATTAGGCATTGGGCTTTATCTTTTCTTTTCATTACTTTCTTCCATTACTTTTATTTTTGGCTCTCTGGGTTTTAGGCTCTATGACTTTTTTGCCTTTTTATCTTTTGAAATAGGGTTTATGTGTGTAACGGCTCTGGTTGTCCAGGAACTCAATGTATAAACCAGGTTAGCCTTGAACTCACAGTCAGACCTGAATGATTCTGCCTGAAGGATGTTAGGATTAAAGGTGTGAATCACCACCATTTGACAGTTTCTGGTTTCCTATCGATGATAAAGACCAGATCAGCCCTGGGGTTCATCTCAGATATTACACAGAAAGTGTGATCCTATTTTTGACAGGGCTTTGGGGTGAGGACCATGAAAGTTTTCTTGTGAATTCCAGGCTGCTAGCAACCTCTCTTTCCTTAAGGTCTTCCTCTCTAAGATTTGCCAGGCTCAACCTTTAGGCTTGTAGGTGGAGACAGCACCACTGTCCCACCCTCACCTCTACCCCCAAACCCCAGCAGCTGAATCTCCCAGGAGAGCTGGCAGTACTTACTGCAATCACAGCACCTCCAAGTTACAAGCTCTGGGTACATCAAAGGCCTGTCTTATTTAAGGATGACATCTGCTTCTGCAGAACCAGCTTCTCCATGTGCTCTAGCAGCTTGTGGAGTAGTTGTTGTTGTGTGTGGATTAATGCATTGGATCTTGTAAAACTTTAAAACAATTCTAAAGCCATTTCTGACCATTCTGAACCCTCTCGGCTTCCATGTCATAGTGCTTCCCCTCCTCCCCTGGGAACCAAGGACCTAACAGCTACAAGTGCATGTATGTTCTACAGAAATTGGGGCAAGATAACCTTTAAGATGTTGACCCAGTTCCTGAACAATTACCCATACATGTATGTTTTGACTAAGTCCCTGGGAAATAGGGTCAAAATGACGTCTTTCCTCATCAGATCTGGCAACAGCTCTCCAGGCAAATATTGATAATAGCCCTTTCAAATAACCCAATCAAAATAGTCAAAGAACAACCCTCCTTGCTTCTGTAGCCTTCTCCTTTAGAAGTAGCCTGTACCAGCTTTTTGAGGTCTTTCTGCTTCCCGAATGCTGAGGGAACCTGTAATGACAGAATTTATAAAATCCTCATGCTTTTACATCAACTGTGGTGTGAGAGATAGTCTCTTGAGGCAAATCCTCCTCAGTGTTTGGACTCTAGGGTCCAACAATCTAAGCCTTGTTGGCAGCAGAGTGGGTCAGCATGCTTGGGCCTCCACCAGTCATGCAGGACTTCAGAAAATTTCTTTGTTTCACTTTCATTTCAGTTTCCTCTTTGAATATTCTCTGGTTTTGTTTTTATTCCTTTCTATGTGGGTTACTGTTTGTTTTCGTATCTGTTTATTGAGTTTTCTGTATTGAGACTATTATCCCTCTATTGGATATATAGTTATTGAAAATGTTGTTCTGATCTGTAGGCAACCTCTTTTTCTGAATGGTGGTCATTGTTGATGTG